CATTGGAGGAGGTTTGGCACAAGCTGGATTCACTCTACTGAACAAATGTGTTACTTTTCTCACTGAATGGGTACCTATTTACCTGCTCACATGTAACATGCTTTCACACTGCTAAGTTGGCAAAAGCTGAGTCATATGAACAGGAGCTCACCGTTACACGATGCTAGGGCTCAAACTGTTGGGAATAAAGACCTTCTCCAGTGTCATTAAGCCACTGAGCCACTGTGCCTCTATTCAGATCCTATAACAACTATTTTAGAAATGTTTCAGTGACTGCAAACTGATGGTATCTCATGTTTTGGAGAGAGGCAGTAGAATCATAAAACAAGAAAGCATCTGTGAGGCTTTCCAATATATATTTTAGAGTTCCACTCGTATGTTTTCTTGTTCTACCAGCCCTACTTTCCCTTGTGAAGAGTAAAATGATGTAGTGGCAGGCAGGCTGAGGTTCAGGATTTTCCTCAGCCATAAAAAACAGCTTTGTGACGCCGGGATGCTTCCCGTCTCACCTCCCCAACACACAATCTATTTCTCAGGGTAGTTGTGACAAAAGTGGGAGGCAGTAGTAGTATGGATGTTATATTGAGTTCCCTGAGGATGTATGCCTTAAAAAAATAAAAAGAATCGCTCTCTCAGCTGTGTTCAATGCAGTTTTCTACACCAGACTGATTCTTATAATTTTTATAACTGTATATATAAAAGCCAAGTGCCACTCGCTCATCACAAAATCTCCAGAACTGTAAAGCCTACCAACTGGAAATTTGGCACGGATGTTCCTCTTGGCTTCTAGGTGCTCGCTAAGGAAGGATTTTTCAAAATGACCATCAGATCATTACTATTTCTTAATACAGTAATTAACAGGCTCTGATGCTGAGTTCTAATCTTCCTCCCTACCTGAAAAGAACTCTGTTCCAACTGCCAGTTGCCTCACAAGGTTGATAGGTGGAATAGCAGTAGCGAATTCTTCGCTATCACACTCCATTATCCTGTAGCTGTAAAAGTCAGCAGCAGATATGGTCTTCTTGAGAGGACCCTTGGTCTTTGCGTCGCACTGAGGTATATTGATGTAATAGCCATGTTCTTCACGGCAGAACACCAGAGGGTACTGGAGAGCTCAGGAGTGGTCTGGAGCTCCTTACAGTACTAAACATCGGTACCTCACCAAAATGTCTATGCCTTCCACCTATGGAACTGCTTCCAGACTCAAGGCGGCGGGAGCGATATTTCCTTATGTGTTTCAATCACCACCGAGCAAAAAAATTGTGAACTGGATTTCTCCTGCGTAGCCCAATCACATAGTGTTGTCACAAAGTACAGGTGCTGGGTAACTAGTAACTGATAAAGCTGACATATTGTCCCATGTGTTACCTGCTGGATCTTAGAAACTGTTAGCTTAACAACGCCCTGGGCCACATAATGAAACCATCCAAGTTCTAACCATTATTTATATTTTATTTTGTATGTGTACATTTCTGTGACCCCGTAAAAACAATAATCTGAGTTGAACTTGTAAAACAAAACAAAAAAAGAGGACAGGGAAAAAAAAGATGGAAATTTGATTAAGCCTGACACTTGTGCTGGAGGCATAGGGAAATTCAACCCCCGTTTTTCTATTATAAAAATTCCTCTGAGTAAAAACTCAGCTGTCACTGGGCTCTGGGCCAGAAATAAATGAGTTCATTTCCCTGCCTTTGCAACAGCTAAGAGGTCACAAAAAGATTTGTCCCTGACCCAGAACTCATGAAGGCCTGTTCTTCCCAGCACAAAGCTATCACGGACACCAAATTTCTATCAAACTTCCTCCTCTGACTACCTCTAGGGGAGCATTCAGAATTTGGCTTTTAAATTTAAGCTTATTTTCAGATTTCCCTGCACTAGCAGGTATGCTCAGCAAGAAACTTTGTCTAGGAAAGTAGTATAGTGAGATGGGAAAGATCAGATGCTGATTGTCCTTCCATCACTGACCGTTGCTTTCTTCTAAAAATTTTCTGTCCAAAACACATTTTTTAAATTTTCATTTGTATATACAATCAGTTTCAATATTTAGGGTTTTTCCCTCCCCAATTATGTTCCCCTAAGTGCAAGAAAACACACACACACACGTATACACAGAGAGACATATCCCATTCCCCAAGTTGAACATTAGTGGATAGACTAAAAAAATTAATGCAAAGTAATTTTCGCTGAGCAGGTTGCCATAATGCATGAGGTGTCATGAAGCAGATTTTGAACTATTGTACCATAATGCTTTGTTTCTCCTTTTTAAGTTAAGGAATTCAGTGAAAACAGTCCTGGACATAATTTTCTCTTTCTCTGTGGGAACATATAGCAGACAGAAAGCAAAATGCCTTCATTGAAGGATGGTGGAGACAATGTGGCATCTCGCCAAGGACACCAAGCTCAACCCCACTGAGAACAGGGGGTTAGATATCTGGTAGCATCAACAGACTGTTCAAACCAAGCTATTGTAGTAAGATTCCTTGACTGGTTGAACAACTGATCAGAGTGCTTCACAATCCTTTCCTTGCTGACACTTCAAAAGCTGTGATACATGATTATGCTACATCATTTTTAGTTCTTTTCAGCTATGCAGCGTTGAGATCCAAAGGGAGGAGACACAGGCAACCTGTTCCAGTTTAGGAACCTGAATGCCCTCTTTTCATTACCCTGTTGAAGACTGTGAGAGATCTTCAGGTGGGTTGACACTACAGTTGAAACAACTTTAGTTCCCTAGTTTTGGCTCCAACCCTCTGAGCAACCAAAGCAGGTGGAAGCAAACCGCCAAGAAGCCAGTGCCCAGGAGATCTCCCAGGGCAGTGAGGTAGGGGATGGAATAATTGTCAGGATCCAGACCCTTTCTCCACATTAGTCGGACAATGAGGTCAGCCATGTAGAGCAGAATTCCCACCTGCAAGTGAGAAACAAAATAAGCACAGTGGTCACCAGCATGCAACATGTCATGCTGTAGTAACACTGCCATCTATTCTATCAGCTGCGATAGCTGAAAGTGCACAGATTCCACAGCTGAGACAAAATCTCCTCCTTCTCATTTCTTTCCCCCATTTACAAGGAATACAGTATGTAACTTGGTCAGTTGGGATACTGTAATGCAGGGGTCCTCAACTCCCAAGCTACGGCCCATTAACGGACCTTTATCCCTTTGGAACTGGGCTGTGGAACTGGTAGGTGAGCATGTGTGCCTACTGCTCGCACAAATGGAGCTGTGTGTGTGTGTGCTTGCCCACCACTAGCACGAAACATTGGCTCTCCCCCCTCTGCCTCCCCCCCCCCCCGATCTGCAAAGCTGGAAAGGTTCTGCTATAATAGTATGTGGAAAGCTGTTGGGAAACAGGGCCAAGAGATGCTTCTTAGGGAATGGTCAGGTAAGAGACAACATAGTCTGCAGCTGGATGGTGGGTACAAGAGGCTCACAAGGGACGGTCCCTAGTTTCTTGGTCTCTAAAAAGAATAAGAGAATTCCTCTTTAGGCTTGCAAAATCATGTTAACATAGCTTAACAATAAAGCAGAAGTAACTTGTCTGGTTATGTTTCCTGTCTAATCTATTTGGTAAGGCTGGGGGTGAAATGTAGACAGAGTGTTCCACATGGAAAAGGGGGACTTTGGGGTGATGTGAATGGACAAAAATAAATTATCCAAACCCAGATCCCAAATTCTAAAGGTTAGTTTCTGGTTACCTGCAGAAGAGCAGCTGTCAGATAAAATGCCACAAAAGTGAAAGTGATTGCTGTGTGGCCCCCCTCAAAGAGATGTATAGTATAGAGGAACACCAGGTGTCCTGGGATCACTAGCAAGATCAGGACTCGAGCTGATTTAGAGTTGATACCTGCAGGAAAGAATAAAGATTGTAATTATGATCACACAGGAAAGAAGAGCTGAGTTCTTTGAAAAACATAGTAGGTACCACTACCCAATATATTTGCAGACAAAGAACTCTCTGAATGACTTTTTTCAATTAATATTTGCTAATATGCTTTTTGTACAACCTTTTTCAACATTAGGCATTGCATATACTTTCTCCTCTTCTTTCCATATTATATACATATGTAAATACATATCTATAGAAACATACTCATACACACATTCTCATTTTTGATTGCAGCACTGCAAGGTAAACCCTAGAGAGGTCCAAGAGAAGATTAGTGCAAAAATTAAATTTGATAATATATCTTCTAGATGCCACAGCTTATTTAGAAAGTGACCATTACATAATACTGAACAAATTTAGAAATGATAGCTGGATTTTATACATTTTAAAACCTCTTAAATCTGACTAGCACTATTTAAAGAAATGATTAAGTTTTCTTCCTTTTTTTCTAAAAACAATATTTTCCCTAAGTGGCAACATATTACCTATTATCCCATAGATTTCTGTCACTTTTCCGCTAGTTTTACTGCTATTCTTATTCCTCATCTAAACCATGTTGTGGGGAAGCCAATCTGCAAATTCCATTCCAATGACAAGGGGACTGATACAGGTAAGAACTAGATTGGATTGGATTGGTTTGGATAGATGTGTTTCTCAAACTGAAGGGAGGCTTCTGCATAGTGGAATAGACCTGAATTGGCATCCCATCGAAACCTTGTGAAGGTTTATGAAAGACGTCCCAAAGGTGCTTTTGCAAAAGGCAACCGGACTTTCTTGGTTTTTTTTTTTCCTTTGAAAATGTTTAATTTCTCATTCAAGAAGCGTCTTCAATTCTAACTGAATGGTGGGAATTCCCCATCGATCAATTAGAAGTGAAGAAGATTCTTGGTTGAGAAACAAAGTGTTTTCAGAGAGAGAGGAAAAAAACAAGTAAGTCCAATTGCCCTTTGGAAAAAAACACCTTTGAGACAACAATGATCTATCTGAGCGATTAGATGATTATGCAAGTCACAGGAATATAGGCAAAGCAATTCATTGTGGCTTATATGGAGAACAACCTTTCTCATTGGCTTCTGACTGGGAAAGAAGAGTACCGTATTTGCCGGCGTATAAGACGACTGGGCGTATAAGACGAGCCCCCAACATTTCCACTCAAAATATAGAGTTTGTTATATACTCGCCGTATAAGACGACCCCCCCACTTGGAGGCATGTTTTTCAGGGCAAAAAAGTCATCTCATACGCCGGCAAATACGGTAAGTTGTAACACTTGGGGTATTCTGGATATAATTCTTGATTGACACCCCCGCCCCTTTACCCCAAACTTACAAAGCCACCAAAATGCTTTAGAGAGGCAGCTTCGCCTTTCTCAGGCTGGCACTCAATTCCTCTCCCTTTCTTTGTGACAGCCCCCGCGTGCGTGCCATCAGGACTCCAAGGGTGGGGGATGGACAGCTGCCAACTCTCTCTCTCTCTCTCTGTGTGTGTGTGTGGTGTGGAGGGTAATTCCGGCTATCTCTGGCCTCCGCTCGGTTTTAAAGTCACTTGGCCGGTTCCCAAGTCGCAAGCGCGCGCTGGCCGGGAGATGCGGCGCTGGGTGGCAGCTCGGTGCCGGGGAGGCGGATCTTTCTCTCTTAAGTGGGGCGGGGAGGAGGGGACAAGAGGAGGGACGGGACGGGACAAGGGGCGGGAGGAGGTCCCTCGCCTTCTTCCACCGCCCACCGGACCCTTTTCTTCCCAAGGGGACCCTGGAAAGCAGCTCGGGAGCTGGGTGGCCCTGCCCAGCGGGGTCCCATCAGGAACTTCCCGAGGACACCCCCCCCCGCCCCAAGCACAGCCCTCCCGGTCTTTCAAAGAGGGAGGGAGAAGCGGGAGGAGCAAATTGCCGCCCCCCGCCCCGCTGCCCAGAAGGAGGGGCGCCACAGTCCACCCCCACCATCTTCTCCCCCCCACTCCCCGGGCCATTATGCGGCTCGGGGCTGGCTGGGCGAAGCGGCCCCGCCAGAGACCCTCCCGCTCCACCCCCACCCCACCTCCAGATTGGCCTCCGCAAGCGCCCCGAGCCGGGCGGAGGGTGGGTGGGTGGGTGGGTGGGGAGGAGGAGGAAGAGAGACTCCGGCTGAGCTTGAAGGGGCTTCGTAAGTTGCGGAGCTCCGCCCCCGTCGCTCTTGCACCGAGTGACAACAACATATTTACCGGCATATAAGACGACCCCCCCACTTGGAGGCATGTTTTTCAGGGCAAAAAAATCATCTTATACGCCGGCAAGTACGGTAATTTTCTGTAACACTGAATGGAGACCCAAGTTAATGGTTAATGAGTACATCTTCCTAGTACAGTATTTTCTGAAATTCTAGAGTCCAGGTGTGCATATAGCAAGGGACCAATGACCTCCTACCTGAGGCAAAGAAGGTGGTACATGGATTAGGCCAATGCTGCCTCATTTTGTGTGGCAGGACTCCAGGCATGCTCCAGAAATGGAGAAATGTGGAAATGCGACTGGCCTGGATAGCCACCAAATTGCCACCAACACCTGCAGAGGCCAAAGGACAGAACACAAGTATTAACCCTCTGTAAGCAAAACCTAGAAGCCTTGCTCAAAGCCATGGAAACACGGGTACAAGTCATGTGGGAAGTTCTACTACAAAGGTGGGCAACATTTGGATCTCTATAGCCCACAATTAACATTCTGTAGTCAAGGACTGGCTTTGTGGGGATTTGCTGAGGATACAAATCTGACAAATAGAATTATCAATAAAATTACCAATAGAAGAAATACAATTTTTCCCCACCCCGGGTTTTTGTAGGATTCATGGGCTGTTCTTGTTTTAGAAGCTTACACTGTATTTTTTGGGTGATTCCTACCACACTATGGCAGGAAATGGAGCTACTAACTAACATTTCATAACTAAAGGTAGAAATAGCTCTGATGTCAACTCATAAAATATTTCTATGGTCTTTTTAGAGTTGCCAACAGAAAGAGAGGAGGGAGCAGTGGGCAGCTTGCATTCCATAAATGTTTTCAAAGATAGTTTCTAGGTGACTGGATTTTCTGCCATGCAAAATTCTAACTGGAGAGTATGATTGATGACTTTTGGTTATGGATGTGTCCCATTGGAGAATATGAATTATGATACACCTGGGGATGGGGGAAAACCAGGGTCAAGGGTGACAATGAATGATGTGTCTCAGAGTCGGCCAGGCAGTGCCGGCATGTTTACTCCTAATAAATCTTCTTTAAGTTCTGGAAGTTGGCTAGAGAGTCATGATTTAAATGGGGGTATCTGCCGGAGCCCTGACATCTGAGACCACTCAGTTCACTCATTCCTGTTCTGGAAGGAAGCTCCTACTGAAATGATTTAAATACCATCATACCGTTTATACTGTCCTTTTCTCCTAATGATTTTATGATAAGAATTCACACAAGGACATATAAAGAAAGTAAAAACGAGGTCATCTGAGCCCCACTTTAAATTCCATAAATAAGGTAGAGGGAGTATACAATAAAAGCCTCACCTGGAAGTAACCTCAATGCAACTTAGTTGATATGGAAAAGGAGATGCATTGATCTAGTATTGGTGATAGTCGATATTTGACCCTAATCAATATATTTTCAATGTAAGATGAAATTGGGAATTCAGCAGACTCAGAGGTTTTTTTTTTCTCCTTTACAAACGGGCAGGGCTTTTAATTTTTTTTTTATTTATTATCAATTTTTTTGGCTCCTCATCTTACTACAAGGTAACTCCTGCTTCTTGCCAAGAAATTAAAACAACTTTGCAAGGAATTTGGGGAGGAGATGCCACTTTTTTTTTTTTATAACTTCTGTTGACAAATGTAGGTGAAGTAAATTTGGGGTCTGTACCACTCAAAATACTAACACCAAGGGCCCGTCCTCTACCTTTCATTGTTTCCCAGAGAGAAACATCTCATCCCCATCCCAAATGCCGTATAGATTTCTGCTCTTCCTTCATTCAGAGTCATTAATTTCCCGGCCTTCACAAACACTTAAACTTTGAAGCATATATTGGCCCAGCGCTAATATTTTTACATCAGTATTCTGCAGCAATTAAGCTTGTAAAAAGTTTTCAAGCACAAGAACTCCCGAGCATGACCCACAGCATTTTAGGGGATCCCAGGGTTTCCTTCCCATGGTGATGTGAGGAATTGTCATATAACTTTGGCAATAGTAGTCCTCTTCTCTAGACTTATCTGGCACAGCCTGTTTGCTGCAGCTCTGACACCAGCTTTTCATTCCTTTTCTCAGAAATGAACACAGCCGAAAGGCTTTTGCATGTTTAATCCACTTCAGAAAATAAACTTAGGACGCCATAATAATTATGTTCCTCTGAAGGTCCTGAGAAAATGGACTCCACCCACACCAGGCAAATTTAGAAGACAAATCTGTTACCATATTTCCAAAGGAATTCAGGTTGGCAAATTGGAGACGTTATGTGCTTCATTCAATTGATGCCATGGAACCTTACATTTATACATGTGGGCTCTCCCAATCAGTTTTACGACTCAAAATGATTGTGAAGTATCCACTAGGTATTGGTGGAGCTTTCTTGACATAGATCCTGCTCTGAGTTTATACTGCTCAAGCTCCTGTTTCATTCTTTTATTTTCTTCAAATTGCTAAACATATCTGTATGGGGATTGCAATGCAGTTTAAATTGGTGTCTATAGCTCAGCATGCAATGTGGCCCAACTTATCCTTTACAAACTCCATGCCCCACTATGTGAATAAGTTGATTCCCTGGACCCCCAGTTGATTTCCTGGATCCCCTGTAATCATCAGTGTTATGAATATATGTAGCATTTGATGAAATTAACATTCCAGTAAAAATCAATGTATTTGTGGCCTATTAGTTTGTTTATAGAGCAGTGTTTCTTCATCTTGGAAAGTCTAAAATGCATGGATATCCATCTCTAGAATTCCCCAGCCAGCATGCATGGTTTACGTTTAGACCAATGCAATTCTCCTGTCTAGCAATGTTTTATCATCTGAGTTTTGAATTAGAATTATTTGAATAAAATGGAGATGTTCTTCTGGAGAATTGCAACCCTCTCCTTTTAAGCAGATACACTGAATTACTCAACTGAGAAAAATTTAATTACTGAGTGTCCTAATACATCCCCAGAATGAAAAAGGCTAAATAATATAATATACTTTTGTGAGAGAATCAGAGTTTATTTATCTTTCCTATCAAACCTTGGAACACCAGTCTTAAAACAATAAAGCAGAAATTGTATTTAATTACATTTGCAATTTGTTTTAATCATCTTACCATTGATCACTGGAACGAAAACAGCAATGCCTTCAAAGTTTGGTTTTGCTACAGTTTTGTCCAAAATTACTCCACCAAAGCTGTTTCAAAACATACACATCCATCCATTAGTCTAATTTACCAGTAGTCTAAATGCAAACTACTACCAACTAATCAAGCATATATACTACTATATATTATTAGCATAAACTAGCACCATATTCTCAAATAAGAATTCAAACCTTACTATAGTTAGGAAGTTAAGAAATTTGTACTAATAGAACAAGAATTTTAATCTTGTTTTTAGGAGGGAAAGTACTAAAAGGAAAAGGATCCCCATATGAAAAGAATTTGATGTCAGGATATCTGTTTGATGAAATCTAAATTCTGTCAGTTTCAACCGACAAGAGCAGTCAATCAAATGCCAGTGGAAAGCCAGTGTAAGACATGACCACAGGCCCATCTCCCACTCTCAGGTTTTTCAGCAATTGTCAGTGGGAAATGCTATCTAATTATTATTATTTATTGCTATAGGCTCAAATGAAAACATTGCAGGATGAAAACTTCTTTATTGAAGAAGATGGATTATAATCTACCATGCTGGCCCAATATGGATTAATAGACAGGCTTTTATATTTTATTTTATATTTTAATTTTATTTCCCAGTCTTGGTTTAAGAGTGAATGACCAGCCCAAAGTTACCCAGCTGACTATTCATATGTTTTAACTTTTACTTATTTGGGGGGGAAACATCGCCACTCAAAGCTTCAACATTATTTTCTAGAAGCTAAACCCACGTTATGAAGTTCATGCTTTTAAATAATATGTTAGATAATTAGACAAACTAAGGGAAATTAAAAGCTTGAACATTTTTACTACAAGCTAGAAAGAACTGCAACCCTCTAAGTGATTCTCCTTTTATTTATTTCAAATAACATAAAAAACCCACCTATTTTAGCTTCTTAAAGATCCAGGAGCTTATTAATAAAGATTTCACTAACATATTCCAGATATGCAGAAAGAGACAATCAATCCCCAACAAAAATCCAGAATTTAACAAAACTGATTATTATTATACTGATTTTTCCATGGCAAGCACATAGTGATGGAGTGAAGCTCTATCTCCAGTGACAGTTACCTGCTGATGATCATTGCAATTAAAATTGGTTGCCATCCAGTCTTCAAGACTTCGGCAATGGGAGGACTCTGCCGAGCAACAGCAATCCACAAAGGAATCAAAACAATGAAAATAGTACAGACTATAGGGGACAGGTAGGTTGCATCTGCCGGAAGAAAAAAAGAAGATGATCTCAGATTTACACCTGAATTTTCAATTCTGAGGGATTAAATCACATTTTCATTTTGGTAAAATAATTCAACGGTTTTCAACTAAAAGCACAGTTGCAATGACAAACACCCAAGTCTGATCGCTCTCAGAACTGTGTTTGATGGGTATCTTTTTTCAATTACCTGCTATAATAAACCAACAGAACTAACTAATGTGAGAGATAACTAGAAAATACATTGGACATAAGGAAAAAGGTTAAACATCAGTAATAAGAATGACCATCCACCAGGAGAGAAGTGCCTGAAATATATAAGAAGCTTACAGATTTTCAGATGTGGTTTTCAGATTTTTTTTTTAATTCTCCAGAAAATATTATGCTCTGCTCTTAGGAATGATTGTGACAGGATGGCCACACTTGAAAAGTAAATTTTCTCCCCAATTCTATTTTCAAGGATATATATGTGTCACTGTTGACTTGTGGGACATCAACATTTTGTAGTCTTTTCCAATGAGGATGGGAACTGGTGGATGTTTTTTTAAACATAGATCTTTGAAAATTTCTATTCAGCTGAGAATTATGTGCTGCTGAGAACATCACTGTTAAAATCATCCATGATTCTTTAATTAAGTACTCATAAAACTGATCTTGCCAGTTACACTTTAATTGAACTGACTGAACTAGAACATTTTTTTTTCACACAGGCACACTACATGTTGAAAGATTGTGTTTATCAAACAAGTAAAACCTGCATCAAACATTGGTGTTATTTATTCATTTAGACTTTCTTTATATGTTAATAACATTACATCAATTCTAATAATACTCAGTGGGAAAGATACATAAAAATTCAGAAAGCCTGAAAGACAGCAGATACTTGTTTGCACATCAAATACTGTGCTATTCCTATTTGTTATGCCTTAGTTAATTATACCATGGATTAATTAATTAAGCCAGGGATTAATTTATCATACATTTGAACTGGAGTCAAAAGTGGGACAAGTCCAAAGAGAAGACCTGAAAATCAGCCAACCATTTAAAATATTATATTCAATATAATATTTATGATTTTTTACAAACAGATCTGTATATGTACAAACTTTTAAACAAAACAAGTTTTATGGAAGTAATATTACTAGTTTTATGGCATCCTAACATTTTGCTGGCAGCTGCTCTTCAAAGGCAGAGTGAGCTTCTTTGTAACTTACTTCTCAGCAATTTACGGTCAAAAGACCTCCAAGAATTGGCTGGGCTTTTGTATTCATCACTGACAAAGTCTGGATAGTTCATGTCACAAGAGTCCAAGAAAGCTGGTTTCTGAGTGGTTCCTTATCTAACCTTCACTGCCAGTGAAATGTCAGAACGTTAGAGCACAACCATTCAATATCTCAAGTTCATTATGGCTTAATTGATGCTCACCATGTAAGTTTACACCAGTATAATATTGAGATAATTATCAGAAGGAGGGGAAAATTGTAAAAAAAAAGAAGATTTTTTCTTAGTAGGTTATTCCACTCAAATTGTAATAGAAGCCAGAGAAGTCAACTTCTATTTTAATCTCATGATGGATTTATAGATACTGTCATGGAATTAGACCTTCATGTTATGGTGCCTTCAGATGTTTTGGATTTCAACTGCCATAAGGATTATGAGAGCTGAAATACAAGTGCTTTGTAGAAGAAAGCTCATGTGACACATCATTATGGCAGCTGAAATCCATTTCTTTTTTTAAAAAAATTCTGGTTACAGACGAATTGTACCAGTTGAGATTTAAATGGACCATGATCCTTTTTCTTTGAAGCGAGTTCATTCCATCTAGCCCAACTTCATGCTTTCTCCTATAAAAATGACAGAGTAGTATTGAAATTACCTGACTATTCTACCTAGAATGAAATGTATTTCAGTCTCTGTTTAAGACAATCTCTATTCTCACACAAGGACTTCCCTAAATTACTTTGAGCAAAGAAGCCCTCCATCATTTGCAATGGAACATTCCACAGTTGAACACTCATCTGCATCCCCCCCACCCCAAATTTTCTTCCATTGCTTAAACTGCTCTAGTCTGCCTTCTCCTCTAGAGATAGTCAGTGAATCTGAGCTATAAATAGAATAATTATTACTATCTCAACCTGCTTCCCCATAAATGGGCTGCAAGAAAGTATTTTATCAGTTACTATCCCTTTAATCATTTTCTCCTTCTGAAATAACATAGCATTGCAATGATCTTTAAAAGGGCAGGAGACTTTGTAAAGGAGACAGAGAAGAATGCTGGGCCAGTAGAAAACAAACATGAGACAGAAGCAGAAAGAAGCTTCAGAAACACCTTGAAACAAACAGGAGAATGCTAAACTTCTGATAGCCTAATAATATTTCTTGTAAGATTCTCCATCTGCTCTTTGTAATTGGCCCAAAGCTGGGCTAGTAGCAACTCAATCTCCAGGCAATGTGGTAGAAGAATTCTTGAAATGTGCTTTTCATTTTCCTGCAAAAGATATTGTGAAAGCCTCAAGCCAGTAGGATGAAATCATAAAACCACATTAATCGCAAAGCAAGCAATTTCAAAGAAAAGAAATTCAGCCTCGTCTGGTGGGGAAAGCAAAGGATAATTCCAGAAGATGCAATATTACGTGACAGAAGCTTGCTGCTTAGGAAACAGGTGGAAGTGCTGTATCTCTACCTGGTTTATGAGGAAATGCTTGAGAAACCTAAACAAACTCTCTGTTTTTGGTAGCAAGATTATTTACATATTTTTCAAATCTGTCTTCTATTATAAGAGATACAGACCACCATAACTCTTTGTGCCTTCCAGCATTTTAATATTTTTCAGAATAGGTATTCCAGGAGTTGCTTGAAGTAGAGAACAAGATAGTGTCCAAAATTAAATTTTAGAACAACTCATGAGCTAGGCCTGCCCCGTGTTATCCAGTGAATTTTATAGACTTGTTTATGGATGTCACATCTCATTATACATCAGATGAGTTCTGAAGTGCATGAATGTGGCACCAAAGTGCAATACAATGTATGGCATGTTTGCTGCCTTTGAAAAAACAGGATCCATCCACTGTAGCCATAAATAGCCATGTGACCTGCTCTCATTTTTAAAATTATAATCTCCCCTATTGTTATATTCTTCCAAGAGAAAAAAAGATTGAAAAAAAAAGTACAAAGCCTACAATTCAGCCAGCCTTCAAAATACTTTCTAGGTCATTCAAACACATCTAACTGTGCCTGTACTGCTTCATTATATGAAACATTCATGCTTCAAATAAACAAGAATGGGCTGCTTTATATATAAAATGTCCTGCCACAAAGACTGAAGGGAAGATAGAATTTGGACATGCTTGAAGTTTTTTCTCTGCCAGTTTAAATCTGCCAAAATATTATTTTTATATAGCTTATATTAGCCCAGAAATCTATTATTACTAAGGCAGGATTAGATAATTTCCAGGATATTTGGCATCCAAGAATGTTGATGCTTGTTATTTGTTACTTCTACCAGTCAAAGGACCTTAATTTTTCTGCATTGGTTATTTGCCTTTTAATGCCTATTAATAAATGCATGAAAACTCACTAAGGTGAGTTTTCCGTAGACAGAAACTGTCCATTACTGCATTCCATACTCAACCTTCCAAGCCATCTCCCATCGATACAAAAAACTTTTCCAAAATATTTTTTTATAATTTATTGAACTTGCTGATGAGTTCCTAAGATTTTTTCATTAACATACCTATATATCTGAAGAGAATACTGCTAATTCCAGCCAGCAGACTAAGAGTAATCAAATCTCCAAGGCTTGCAGCTATCGGAGTAGCAACATTATCCGGATTTATCCCAATCTTTCTTGCTCCAATGATCACACCAATCATCAACAATCCTAGGAAAAAGTGAGACCACAGATTTAGAAAGTTTTTAATAAATCTGCAGAATAAAAAAAGTTCAGAACATCCCCAGGACTTTTTCTCTTCCAGAGCCCACAGAACTAGAAGCAGCAGGCTGATTTGCCAGGGCCTTACGAGTGACACTAGAATGGAGAGATGAGAGAATAATATCAGATCTATTAGCATCTGGGATGCAGTAAAGAGAATCAAAAGGTACTGGAAAAAACCAGACCAAATACAGCACCAAAAAAACATTATTACAATTTGAAAGTATCAGCAGGGACTATAAATAATTCTGTAAGTTTTTTAAATATTCACTCCCATTTTTCACATTGTAAAGCTTAAAAGTCAAACAAAATGTGTATATTAACTATGGAGTTGGGGTGCAGAGAAGAGAGTTTGTACAACTGCATAGCTATGTCAAGGAAAGAAGATCTTTTGCTGAATTATTCGGTTTAATCTTATTCACACTTTACTTCCTTTATTGGTGCTCTTACTGCATTCAACAATCATCTTTCAACTTCATGCTTGCTCAAAAATTCCATAATTGAAGCCTATTCACTTTATCATAAGCATTCTCTAAATCAACAATGCACAATAAACTTTATCTCATTCAAAATGTCTCAATGACCTCCTGAAGAGCAACAATCTTATCTGCACATGTCCCATCTGGCATGGAACTATATTGCACTTTCCAAAATTTGTTCTCTGTCATCTCTTTGAAAGAAGTGCAGTGCATACTTTATATAATAAAGCATGCACTGCATATATTTTATATGCAGCATATATATAAATATATATATACTGCAAATAAAATATATGCAGTGCATATGTTTTACATTTATACAACATTTCTCATGTGAAACATAGCTGCTTGTTCCTTCCTTTTCTTAAAAAGTCATATGCTGCTCTCTTGTGGAAGAACTGCACACTTCTTGGAGCAAAACACTTTTATTATTAAGCCATATTTCAGGAACAAGGCCTCATGATCCTGACAGGATAGGAAAAGAGTCTTAAAGGTGAAAAAACAACAACCATCTGTGACAAGAATTGCCTAAGAAGAGGGCAGAGTTTTGTCTAAACAGAAGAAGTGATCTCAGGAGAAACAACAGATGGTGGTAAATAAAATTTATATATAGAGTAAATAAACCGAAAGTGAGGCTGTTTTCCTAAAAATCCCTGCATAAAGTCATTTAGCTGAAGCTGCTTGTAAGGGATGCTTGCAAGAGATACTATGAGAAAATGATTAATTTGGAATGATACTAATATTTTTAAGAAATATAGAAGAATGGAAAATAGTAGCTCCTACCTCTATGGAACTGATTCAGAATTTATACCTGTGATAGCTGGTGTTGCTACCATTTCTGCACAAACAAAAACACATCTCAAAAGTGAGTGTCCTCTCAGTTGAAAGTTACTTTGCTTAAACAACATCATTTTTTTTGGATCCAGGAGTTGTCCATTCTCTGTAGCAGCACTTTCCTATGTAGCAACATCCCTCTAGGGAATTATTTAGGCCCTGTGATTAGCAGGCTCTGCTGCTTAATGCTTCTTAATTGTATTTCTGAGTGACATAGGGTAGATTGAAAATTAAGTCATACAATCAGGAAAGGCTGCAGATCATGCTTCATACACAGGACTCCAGATTCAGTCACTGGCAATCGAGCTCAAAGAGACTATTCTCTGAAACCCTGAAGAACTATAGCCTAAGAAAGCAGACCAGCAGTGTGCAGATTTTCTGTGTCATAGATGACACTTGGCCTTTCAGTGGCTTATGGAGCCCACCCTGTTTAATACTGTAGAGAAGGATAAGACAAAACTAACATTCATTTACAATTAATTAAGTTAACAGATTAACAGAGTCAGAAGGGAGCTTGTGGATCATCTAGTCCCCAAGCATCATTTCTGACAGATGGCAGTCTAGTCTCTTCTTGAAAAGTGATGAAGCTCCCACAGCTTCCAAAGGCAAGCTGTTCCACTGGTTGATTGTTCTCACTGTCAGAAAATTTCTCATTTCTATTGCTTGGGGGAAGCATTTTGGATATTGGATTGATTTAGAGAAATGGCAAAAACTGTGGTCTCAAAATTATAAAATGACAATGTCAATAGCATATAAAGAAAATTTGTATAAGATGTTTTACAGGTGGCATTTTCCCCCAACAAGAATATCAAGAATGTTCAAGAACAAGTCTGAAAAATGTTGGAAATGTCATCAGATACCTGGCTCATATTACCATATGTGGTGGACGTGCGCGGATGCCAAAAAATATTGGACTAAAATCCACATATGGTTGGAAAAAAATGACAAAAAAGCATATAGACTTGAAACCAGAGATATTTTTATTGGGAATTTTACCTGAAATATATAGTAAAGAATTGAAATATTTGATTGTAAATGTATTAACAGAGGCTAGGATCGTATTTGCTAAAAACTGGAAAAATGAGAAAATACCAACACAGGAGGAAGTTATTAAGAAAATAATGGAATGTGCTGAAATGAATAGATTGACGTTTGAAATCAGAGAACAAGAAGATAAACAATTTTATAAAATTTGGGATCTATTCTATCAATGGTTAGACAATAAAAATGGTAATGAAATATGTAGATTTTTAGAACATAATGAATATATAAAGATGTATTTTTTATTATATCTACAAAATGATTATAGGATAGATTTGAGATGGAAATATGAACTGTCATAAAAAAAATTAAGTAAAATAGGGATTATTTTGTAAAACATGAATGAATAATAGTATAGTCAAATGATTGATTAACAATGATACTAATGTATTTAGGAATATTTGATTGACAATATGAGAACATATACAATGTAATTCTAATTGAAGACTACGAAGGGGAAGCACAAAACAATTTGTAAACCAACCAACACACTGTATGTACATATTTGGAAGATGGTTTGATGTTTTTATGTTGTGTTTGTTCATGTTTGTCTTTAAAAAACAATAAAACTTTTTTTTTAAAAAAAGAAAATTTCTCCTTATTTCATTAGAAGGAACAGGTTATTGTTTAATGTATATGGTAATGTATTTTCCATACTCCTATTTATTACTGATACAATCCATGTGATTTCCCAAGGAAAAAATCCAAATTGTCTGCAAATAGTTATGAAGTAATGACCAGGAACTAAGTGCAAAATATTTGTTTGGGGAGCAGAATTAAAATTTCAAAAGCAGGGCCAACTGGTATTCCAGGAATCAGGCGAGCTTAAACAACAACACAACTCACCAAGGAAAAAGGCAGCTACAAACGCTGTTGTCACGCTGCTGGCACACAACACAGCAGCATGGTTCAGCTCCAAATACCCATTAGAGAGTGCGCCTAGAAGGATTGCCGCTACAGCTGCCAGAAGGCCTATCACAGTGGCCTGCACCTGTCAAACAGAAACAATGAAGAACAGAACATCTCAAGAGCCTGTAGTGTGAGATCAGTTCAGAAGTATTTCTGCAGGTCTCTTTTCTAGATGGCAGGCATGAAGGTCAGGTGACTTCTTAATGTGTCGAGTCTCCCCAACAGCATCATCCAAGGATGATTAAGCTTTTCAAGCAGAGAAAAGCACTGTGTTTTTGTCCTTCACTTTATCTTTGCCAGTTATTCTTTTCATAGCACAAAGCTACTTTTTAGGCAGATTTATGAAAGTAAGTTCATGTGTGAAATAGCCAATCTGTAACACATGAAATGAATTTCACCCTTCACAGGCTTCTCTTAAATAGATACACTAGGCAATTATTTTTAGTCAGCTGACAAATGTTTTCTTAAGCAACAAAAAGATTGAAACTTCATCCAAGAAGATGGTGCGGAACTAAACCTCTGGAATGCAATAAGGAGTATTTGTGAATAATTTGATTGGAACTCTTAACATGATAGTTCAGGTGATGCTGAACTGTAAATTATAATTCACTTTCGGGATGCTGAGAGCTGTATTTCCACAATACTTGGTGGGACAGTACATATTTCCCTTTCCATCATCTAATCAATTAAATCCTGTCTTTAATAAGGTAATTAGATACTCATAGTCATAAATCAATAAATGTTTTAGCCATTGTCAGTATTTTATACTTCATGACACTTGGTGTGCAAATGTTGGTTAAACTGATTTGAGAGAAATGAAACCTGAAAATCTAACTCTGGGTAATCAAAACGTTACTGAATTGTTAGATGAATGTAAGTTTAAACTATTAAACTTAATTGTAGTTCTGAGTGACAGGAAGTAAGTTGAAAACTGATAGGAATTATCATTATCTTGACTAGTGAAGGGACCCTTCCGTGTAGGTCTTTCCAATGTCTTATAATACCTAACAAACTTGTGGCTCTAGGAATTGGGTGCTTCTAGACCACAGGTGTCAAATTTCACTGCATCACATGACGTATTGTGAAATATTGCAATTTTTTTTTGCCTATGTAAAGGCATGGCCTGTGCGTGACACATCCAGCCTATGGGCCACCAGTTTGACAGGCCTGTAATCTAGACTGACAGCTCCTGCTGCCACAAATCAAAAAGTAATATGTAGTTTCTCCGACTTTCCCTCTCATCCTAATTTCTGTGCAAAAAAAAGCAGAAAAAATGTAGTTGGAAACAGAAATGTTATAAAAGCTGTGTTGCCTGGACCTTTCCCCTAAATATGTGAATAAATAATCCCCTCATTAGAATAACAAACAAACATCAAAACTTTGTACAAGAAAAAAACAGAACTTCCATTTAGTGACATAATTAATAAACAGCTGTAATATCAGCTGTTGAGTATCAGCTCAATTATCCAGGGGCTCTAATTGACTAGTATTATCCAAAGGTCTCTATAAAAAATTTAGACTTGCTTACCTGAATCAAGGCCATATTGCAAATAGCCATTTTCCATTTTTCCTGTGAATTATCCATCCGGCCGATATTAGCCTGCAAAGCACAGGAGACAACAATTATTTCTTATGTAGGGAAGGAATGGAGAGCATCTGTTGCAATAAGTGTGTCTCTATGCTTTGGCAGGTTTGTGACAGGACATCACTATCAGTCTTTTTCATTTTCATCTTTATGAAAAACCACTAGAGATACGCCTGCAGGGAATGGATTTCTTTTTCCTTCCAAATTGGCGATGTGACCAGTTTAAAAATAGATTTTACAAGGGCTGTGGCCCAGTTTGGAGTACATTTGGATGCACAAAATCAGGAGGTACAACTGCAAAGTGTCTGAACTTCATACTCATCTCCAAGGCCCTTTGGATTTTATCCTACCAGCTCATAGAAGGAGTAACCTGACACTCATACTAAGCTACAACAACATTCTACCTGAATCTAAAAATGTTTCAAATCTCTGAAGAAAAAAAAAGAGAAGAACTTTTGCAAGGTTTGGGAATTCTGAACACAATAAAGCCATTTGTTTAGGTGAATAAGTCAGGATAGCACAATAGGCTGGCTCCGATCTTGCTGGCTTTCCAGAAGAGCTCAAATACCTGGCTTTGACATCTGGCCTAAGGATCAGAGAGAAGTATGGAGACCTTAAAATGGCTGGACTGTCCTTGAATTGCTGTGCTCTCTTGGGGAAAGTTCTCTATGCTTTTAATGGTTTAATTGTTTTTAATGTTTGTATGGTTGTTTTATTTTTTTTTATTTTTGGGGGACTGTTTATGTTTTCATTGTAAACCACACAGGCTCAAGAATAAGAGTTGTGCAACTATGTAAATTGAATGAATACATAAATAAATGAGGGAATTCTAGTCAGACAAAATACACAAGCCCCCTAAATGCTTCTAGCGACTGATCTACTAGCAAGAGGAATATTTTTAACTGTTCGGGTCAACCTAAATGATTGGTTAATAAGTGCGTCATCAATTCAAGATGCCAGGCTTAATTCAGAGGCATGCACATGCAATACTAGCTCAACTGTCCTAAGCCAACACAGTACAGGTTATCTTGGGATAGGTTATCTTGGGATATTGTGCTCTTGGATTGGTAGCTTTTCACCCGAGTCAAGTTAATTTTAATGTCTTTATAGTTATGATTTTACTGTACTGTAAACCATCCAGAGTGAGGGTAGGGGGTAATGAGATGGGTGCCATATACATTTATCAAATAAACAAACAAACAAACAAATCACTTCCCTTTCATAATCATGGATGGCAAATAGTACATCTAGCATGTTGTTACATTACATAGGGCAGATAAAGAGTTTATTGCCAAGATCACATTAATATTAGTGAGGAACTTCACTCATGTCTTTCTGTAGATCTAGGTGGAGGGCTTATGGCTTCATCTCTAAAATGGCTCCCTCTGACCTTTGCTTAAATATATTACTGGATACCTAAAATATAATTCTTTCCAAATATGTGGTACAGTAGGGAAATCAGAAAAACAATTGCAACAGAAATGTTGTTCATGACCACCATGGAAAGCAAAATATACAGGTCCAACCTACATAGGTACTATAAGAACTATTGAGCCATCTATGCATTTTTCACTACTGGATAAGGTGGTCTCACATGTCAGTATTTTTCTTGCCAAACAAGAACTCTAAATCCTTCTCTATATTAAAAGACAACATAAAGAGGATACTTACAGCTGTAGAAAGTCTAGATGCCAAGGTCATTTCCAGGTTGCCTTTCAAACCAATCAGGGCTGGAATCAGAATAAACATTTCTCTGATTTTTATGAATACTTTCCAGTGCTGAAAGGAGAGAAGAAAGTATTAATCCATTGTGATATTAATTGTAACATGCACATTTATACATACTATTGTACTACGTAAGATTTCCCAGAAGCTTTGAATTGTAAGCTGTTTTTCAGTGTGGATAGATCCTCCATCAATACAACTTTCAAACTGGCTGTTAAATATCTAAGCAACAATTAATAAAGAAAATCGAAATAAATTAGCACTCTTGTGACAGTCGTACAAAAATGTATAACAAAACTAAAGGCAAACTATTTTTATTGAACCAAACCAAAATGGAAACCAACCATCATGGAAATTACCCATTTATATTATTCAACCTTTCTTTGTGCTTCCATATTATTTGAAATAATTTCAAAATCATAAAAATGGCAATTAATTGCTATATTTTCACTTTATGGATCTTAAAAACAACCACAACCATAGGGGGAAAAAAGCCAAACCCCTTTCTCTCTCTCTCTTTTTTTTTTGACTATGCACTTCAGCTGCTTTCTCCAAAAATAAATAAATAACTTTCTTCTAAACTCTCCAACTAAGGTCCTGATAATCAACTTCTGATGGTCAATACCTCCCCTTTTTCACCCTCTCTTGGCCAGGACAAGACTTGGGGAGAATTATGGCCATTTGATAGGTAATGGGCATAGCAGTTGGGATTCCTTAAGGAGGAGGTTCAGGGCTGGGATTGTGTGAGGTCTCCTCCTAGAGTGACAGCCTCAGAGCAGCTAGTGTGGGGGTATTGTCTGTACAACCCACTTTGAGTGGAAGCTAGGTGGAGGGGTTTGGGGTGATTGGTCCACATCCGAGTAGCCAGTGAGAGAGACCAGTTGGGAAAGAGGACAGTGTGTCTGTTGCAGAGGGTTGGATGTGGGGAGTCCTTGGTTCTGAGAGCTTTTTCTATAGTGCCATAGAGGTTCCCTCCCTCACTGTCCCCCTCCCCCAGGATGTACCAGTATGAATGATTGCAGGGAGAAGCAGAGCCCTTGGCTCTTCCAGGAAGGGGGTTGGGCAGAAGAAGGAATGTTCATCCTGGGGATGTAGAGCAGGATCATGTATCACAGTCGTGATGGGTAGCAGGTGCTACGGGAGCCAAAAGGCAGGCTGTTACAGGGGAAGGTGCCTCTGATGCTTAATATTAGTGGGTCCCAGAGGGAACTGGGTGATACCCAGAAGTGTTGCTGCTCTAGTGGTGGCCTGGAATCTAAGGGCAGTCATGGCTTTGGACAGGATCGCACCCATGCACCTTCTCTTGACTCATCGTCCCCAGCCCTCCCCATGGTTCACTGAGGAGCTACAAGTTCTGAAAAGGGCCAAGAGATGCCTGGAGTACTACTGGAGGAAGACAAGGGATGACTTTGATTAGGCATGACTTGATCCACCAGTAAGGCCTTCCTCTTGGCAGTAAGAACAGTGAAACAGCAGTATTTCTCTGCTCTTCTTATATCCTTAGAGTACCATCTGGCGGCTCTGTTTTGGGTCACCCATTCCCTCCTGGATCAGGGGGGCTTCGGGTGATCTTCTGCAAGGCCGAGCCCTCTGCAACCTTTTGCAGAGGAGTTTGTTCAGCACCTGATGGACAAAATTGCCAAGGTCCGTTGCCAGTTGGATCCCATACATGGAGATGATCCATGTGTGATGCCCAGGGAAAGATCTTCCCCTGTTATCTGGGAACAGTTTGATCCTGTTGACCCTGATAAAGAGGACAGGGCCCTTGATGCAGTCAGTGCCACCACCTGTCAGTTAGACCCTTGTCCCTCCTGGATGATGAAAGCCTCCAGGATGGTGACTAGCTGGTGGGTCCAGGCAGTGTTTAATATGTCACTAGAGGAAAGGACATTTCTGGATGCTTTTAAAGAAGCTACATATGGTGACCCTATACAGTGGGCCCATTCTGCTGTGGCACCTGTGCTGTGGAATCTTCTTCACCCAGAGATGAGATCCGCTTCTTCACTCCTGAGTTTCAGAGGTCCCTAGGGCCCCCAGAGGAATGGGGGTGAACTCATGAGGTGGTTCTGTTATAATTAATATCTCTATGTCTATTATGTTCTTTTTATGTTTTGGTTTTGCCATTATACTTTCTAATACTTTTTAAAATAATTATCATATAATTATTATGTATTAAATTTGTTTGCCACCCATCCCACTTCAAAGTGACTCTGGGAGGCTTATGATATTAAAAGCAATCAAACCATAAAAGAGGAATATTTCTAAAAACAATAAAAATAGAACTACGATCCAAGAGACACTGCTTAACAGATGGAGGGGAGGGAGTAGGATGCATGCGGGGAGGGAAGTGAGATTTATGTCTTAATCCAACAACCACCATAATGGTTTTAGGTAATGAGTTTTTATATGTTTACAATTTTATTGGATTATTGTGCACCCTGAGTCACTTTCCATGAGATGGGCATCCATATAAATGTGATAAAAATGAATTAATCTGATTGAAATTGAGAAAAGTAGCTTTCTAAATCTGCTTGCTAATCTTTTAAACAGGATTGTAATGATGTTTTAGGGTAACAGCAACTTTGCTAACAGCAAAAGGAGTTTAAATATAAATATAATACTTTTTTAAACAGCTCCCAAACTTTTTAAGACAATGACATCTAGACGTAGGGTGTCCAACCTTGACAACTTTAAGATTTATGAACTTCAACACCCAGAAGCATGGCTGACTGGGGAATTCTGGGAGTAGAAGTCTACAACTTAAAGGTGTCTAGGTTGGACACCCCTGATCTAGATCAGGGGTCTCCAAACTTGGCAACTTTGAGACTTGTGGACTTCAACTCTCAGAGTTCCTCAGCCAGCTGGCTGAGGATCTTTGGGAGTTGAAGTCCACAAACCTTATAGTTGCCAAGGTTGGAGACTCCTGATCTAGAGTATGTAGGCAGTAAGAGAAAAATCAGTTAATCCCAATATGTTAATTTTGAGAATGTAAATACCTTAATCTTGTTGACATATAGCTGTTATTTTAATGCAGGGGTCTTCAAACTTGAAAGCTTTAAGACTTGTGGACTTCAACTCCCAGAATTCCTCCTCCAGTCATGTTAGCTCAGGCATTCTGGGAATTGAAGTCCACAAGTCTTAAACTTGCCAAGTTTGAAGACCCTTGTTTTAATGGATTAGGGTGGCAAATAAAGGAAAATATTCCGAATAAACAATACCCATAGCTATTTGATGAACAGAGAGGCGTCTGCAATTATTTAAAACTGAAGTCAGCATATTTTTCTCTTATCTCTATCTTTTGGTTTCACTTGATGCTATTTAGTTTATAAAGTGTGCCATATATAGGTTGCTCTTTTTAAGTAGATATGTACAAACAAGACAGCAAGAATTTTATTTCTGATCTGTCCTGTTTTATGCTTATTTTTAATAAGGCTGGTTGTTTTTTTCATATGCTTGCAACAATAAGCCAGTTCTTTAATTTTATGATCTACTTGGCCAATCCTGCACAACAAAGTTATTTTAGATTGAAGAACATAAAGTTCAAGAGCATATGATTATAAATGACTTGAAAGTGAAGAGGAAAATATAGCAGAAAGTGTAGTTTGTGATGATAAAAGATCTTTGTAAGCCTTTTTTCCATTCCTTATATGTAATGCATTAATGGACTGTTTCCTTTTCTGTTTTATGCCTTTAAACCGGAGATACCCTTCAAGTGGCAGATAATTTCTACAGAAAATACAATTATTACAGGATTTCAAAAAAACTAACACAATAAACATATTATTGACTACCATGCCTATGCATTTTAAATTACAAATAAACCTTAAGTTATAGGACTGCCACATCACTTTTCAACCTGTTTTGCTTATTATTAATGAAGCAGGGAAATAAATGTTTCTAATAATAATATAATGGGCACAGTCCAATCCACTGATATCAGTGAGACTTCTCCCTAACTATTTAGGCATAGAGTGACTGCATAATCATTCCTTGACTGAGTTCACACAATATGCTAAAACCAAGTACAGTTTTAACAAAACGAGCACAGCTTAGCAAAACACAAGATCCTTATGTCGGGACAAATAAATCATACTATGCTTTAACATGTTGACTTGATTCACACAAGATGCTAAGACAGAAACCATCCAATTGTGATTTAACCGAATCTAATGTTTTGCACACAAATCCTGCACTCTTGTATATGCACACCTGGAGGATTGTTATAAGGCTCAAAGGCCTTATGAAACAAAGCGATCATAGACAAGAATTCTATTTATTTAGAGGACTTGATATATGAAGAAAATTATTTGGGCCAATGAGAGCCCTTCCGCTCTAGACTAGGAAGTTCAAAAGCATAGAACCACTAACCCATTAGCATACAGATAGTTCTTGACTTACAGCCATTTGTTAATTCGTGACCATTCAAAGTTACAATGACATTGAAAACAAGTGACTTAGGACCATTGTTCCCACTTGCAACCATTGCAGCATGGTCAATATTTGGATGCCTGACAACTGATTCGTATTTATGAAGGTCGCAGTGTCCCAAAGTCATTTCATCACCTTTTGTGAGCTTCTTGACAAGCAATGTCAATAGAGAAGCAAGGTTCACTTAAAAACTGTGTTACTAACTTAACAAGTGCACTGAATCCCTTAACAACTGTGGCAGGAAAGGTTCTAAAATGGGGCAAAGCTCACTTAACAAATGTTTCACTTAGCAACATAAATTTAGGCCTCAATTGTGGTTGTAAATTGAGGACTACCTGTGGTATATTATGTTCCATAAACTAAACTTCAGTGAGGAGGCTTTCAACCTTCAGCGGATTGATTCAGGCTGATAATACGTGCGCATCACACACACACACACACACACACACACCTTTCAAATGACCCCCAAGAGGTCAAGAAAATATATATTCTTATGAATGACAGAAAGCTCTAGTTTGCAGGTCAGTTGAAAAGGAAACAAAACAAAACAAAATTTTAAAGGAAATGAGTAGACAGAATTGGCCTAAGAGCTTAAGAGTACCCTACAAGGAAGGATTTAATGAGGA